GGATAAATTTAAAAGGAAGAGAGGCCACTTGTGATCAATTTTGAGATCAATGGGTAGGGTGCTACTGGTCATGTCATTTGAATTATAGTAAATCGGAATGGCTCCAGTCTTTATCTTAATTTATATAAAAGTGCTTAGATTGGGATCTGTTGAGAGAATGCTATTTTATATAATCAAATTAGTTAGATGACCTCTAAAACAGGGGTGGATTTATAGGGGGGGGGGGGTGCAAAAAAATCAAATTCAGAAATATGGCATGATTTCCAAGGTTTTTCCTTTTTTGAAATCAAGCTGAAATTCATAAAACTCCTGAACCCCCTAGGGAGCTTGCGCCTTTGGTGCTCGAAAACCTTGCTGGATCCACCCCTGCTCTAAATATATCGCGGAAAAAGAATAAATATTATAATTGATATTATAATTTTAAATGATGTTTATCACAGAGGCGAAGCTACCGAAGAGGAAAATTTGGAGGAAATGGCGAGAACCGCAAACCCTGAAGAAATTTCAATTGACGAAGATGATGATGATGAAGATGAGAAAATTGGTAGTAAAAAATTTGTGTAAAATTCTGGTCATCAAAGATAAAGAGCAGTTGCAGCAGAGCTCGAGTGCGAGGAAATTGCAAGAGGGTGGGAGAAGAAATTTGCAGGAGAGTTCGAGGGGGGGGGGGTGGAAGTTAGGAGTTTGGAATGGGGAAGTGCACGAGGGTCGGGGAGGGTGTGGGACGTTAGGAGGGTGGCAGAGGAAGGTCGCTGGATGGTGGAGGACGTTTCGTTCGCGAGATCCAAAGTTGTATCCAAAATTTTAGTAAAATTTATTATATTTGTTTGTATTTTTTAGAAGTTCAACTCGAGCAGCAAACTATTCCATCCAAGGTAATGTAATATGTATGTAAAAGTGGTCTTCGTTATCCATTTTACTTTTTGTGTACTACTAATAGGTCCGTTCATTGATAAGTTTGATATGTAGGACTACAGGGCACTCGGATACCTCCGCTTGCGAATTAACTTATAAATGCATCATAGATAGATTGTACAATTGGCTAATTACACATTCAGCTTACTCTGCCTGGCAAAACAAGACAAACTTTCGCTCATTTCTCATTAAATTTTTCTATTGATGCATTTGATATTTTTTTAGTTATCGTCCTGATAAGCATACACACATACATACGTACAAACGCGGATGAAAACATAACGTTCTAACGGAGGTATATATTATAACGGTATCCTCGTTTGTTCCTACTCCTAGTTTTGAAATCAATGTTCAATACGCGTAGATGGTCTATACTGACTTGTACTGAATATTAATGGTAGCCCCGCTTGTTTTATGAGTGCATTCCGCGGAGGGAAGGTAGTATATTTTTAAAAACAATGGCCCGAAAAAGTCAATTTGGCAATGGGAAACATCACTTGGGGCTTACGAAATGAAATTTTGAATTGTTCACGCATAGCATCGCTGCATGACCTTTTAAAAAATGGCGTTTACAGTATATAATTCCGGTTTAAGAATGAATTTCACACGTTTGACTACCACAAGTGTAGAAATTGCAAGTAATTAATAATTGGGAGAGGAGTTTTCTTCCTCATTTCTGGATATAAAATCTCGCGGATTGTCGACGAGATGAAATTGTGGACAAAATCTTAAAAATGTGGACAGCTAGCTAGAATTGTTTACCATGCACTACTAATAATGCAGCGGAGAAAACAACAAAGAAATATAATTTTTTTCGTCGATTGAAGAATTGGAAGAATGCCAACGAAGATAAAATTTATTTTAGTTTAGTTTTTATTTTGTCTACAACTTTAACGTAAACTGTACTATCATTACTGTATATCATTCAGTGCATGTGTACGGATCGAAATCTCTCCGTTATGCTATGTTGCAATACCATATTTCAAACTATATTGTATTAAAGTGCAGAGCACTGCGTGCGGCCGTCAGATTTACAATGCATGCTTTATGCCGTTTTTGTGTTATTTCTTCTTCAGGATTCAAACAGTTGCTGATGATCATGTCAATGAATTCTGTTCCACATTGCATGTCACAAATGTCCCTGATAGCTCGCTCATTTGTGGACAATTGGAAAAATGGGTTGTTCCAGTTGTATCCATGATCTCTCTCAATTTATAAAACACGCGTTAACACTTTGTTACCTTCGTTAAGACAAGGCTGGCTTTAATTCTAAAAGTTTACATATTACCATGCATGCAACTATACCAGAAATTTAGGTCCTTCCAATTTAAGGACATTAAAATACCTTCTTTTGCTTACAAATATTTAGTGATTGACCGATAATCGGTATCTGGTCTATTTTTGCCTCATCGGTAGACAATCAGAATCGGTAGAATTGTCTATATTTCCAATTGTCTAAAACAGATTGTTGAGAAAATACGCACTTTCAAAATTATATGGATTGCGCGTTGATACATGTTGCGTTATGTTAAATTAATGCGTGAAGCCTGCCATTTATGAACGGCTTTAACGATCTTTCGGTTTGCAGTAGCATGTTACGTTGAAAATTATCGTTAAAAAATCGACGTGAATGACGTCACCTTTACTCGGTCGACTGATATTGTTAAGTCATTATAAAATCAACGTCGGTATCGGGTAGATTGTGCCACGAATAATCTGTAGTCGGTATATATAATTTCCGATTGTTGCACAATTGGTCAATCACTACAAATATTATATTTGCAAGTGCAGACAGTTCAATAATGTTTGGTCGTCTTCAAAATATCTTAGTAAAACTAGGATGCGTCCGTTCCCTCTTCGCCTGGCTTCAACTTATAATTTGGAAAAATTTGTTTAACAACATCTTCGCCATGCCAGTGTCTCATGTCTCTGCATTTTGAAATAAACTGGACGCCGAACTCCATTAACGAATATGTTCTTGACTTTTCTTGTCTGGAAACACTCGGAATGTTTTCCAGCTGATTCGGAACGTTTTCTTGCCGCTTAGGAACATTTCCTTGCTCCTGATTTGGAACATTTTCTTGCTCCTGATTTGGAACATTTTGCTGATTCTGAACATTTTCCGGTTGATTAGAAATATTTTCTATTATTTCCAGACTGTATGCATGTGTGTGCATGGTGACAATGTTTCGATTCATTTCAAAAACAGGCGAGCCACTAGCACCCGCGAAAACGTCGTGTCGTATGACAGAGAACCTTGATAGTCTTCAGTGTTGTGTAATCATTGTGCATTGGTCATGTGTACGCCGGTACACTGTTCATATCTTTCCCTTATTCTCTCCTGCATCGCGTGATAGCCGACAACAACACAGACTTCGTCCTGCATTTCCTTTCCTCCCGGATGACCAAGAATAACAACTCGACCATCTGATAGTTGCCACTTTCTAACCATCGGACCAAGTGGAACACGACCTCTGATACCATCGTTTTGCTTCAAACGAAAGAATTTGTAATCCAGGTATGGATTCGCAAGTTTGAGATCCTGTTCTTCATCAACTTCAACTTCTACAACATTTTCCATTTGTTCATCGTAGAGATAATCGAACAAAACGCTGACGTGTAAGCTGGAATTTCCTGATTTCTTTCTTTCTTTTTCTATCATCCTGTAAACATGATAGTTGGTTATCACCAGCACGTCTGTGACAAGGAAGCATGTTCCACCAACACTGCCACATTTAATGTTGCCAATGGATCTCATATAAGATGCCAAAGTTTCATTCAGTCTCGCCGGCTTTTTAGTCGAAGCATTTTTAAATACTTCATCTCTTGCAAAGTTGAAGATTTGTTGATCTCCTTTGACAAGTTCTCCATCCTTTCTATCAAGTTTATTATCATCCTTACCCAACAAGCTTGTACATGCTGACTTTTTAACTTTTTCTGTCATTGCTTTACGAACGATCTTAGTGAAAGGTTCTTTGACTGATATTTCGCGAGTGTACACGTACGAAGGAGCAATTTCTTCAACGTATTTTTTCACATGAACCACGTCTTCACTGGATAATGTTTCTGTTCTGCTTGGGTTACATGCTTCTTCAATCAATGCATCGAAACGTGCCCACCCCTCTGAAAAATCAAAAAGAGTTTTTGACTTTTGAGAGTTATCGCATAACACTACATGTTCTACGAGAGTTTCTCAATTTAATTAGTTTTAATTAAGTTTTAATTAAACTGATTAAGCCAAATAAATATTTGTTGATTGTCGTTTCACGCCTTGTTGTTAAATTAGAAGTAGACACTTTAAATGCTAAATTTTACGTCAATATTAAAAACTATTCTTGCATGCGCGGTTGAGGATAAAAATAAATTTTAGAATTTTAAACTTAGAGCTAAATCTGGAATTAAAACAACAATATATTATTTAATTATTTTCAAAATAAAGAGCTTTAATTTGCTGGTATGCCCTTTAAAATTGCTAAATAAACCAAAGACTAATAACAGGAAAGAACGATCGAAAACATTCAATTCGAAAACAGGCAATTCGTCTGTGGTTTAAAGAGTTTACATGTTTCTAATTGGATAAATGAAATATAATTGCATTGTGCAAATGCTTCGTTATCTATTGTTTCTAATGCGTGCGGCACATGAGAAGCGCGACGTTTGAAATAGGCCTTAGTCTTAGCCGCTGTCGATTATAATGATAGCCCTCGAAAACGCTCTCTTATATGAATAATTAGAAATACAAATTTTAAGAGGTAAAAGGTATTGTTTTGGACTTAATCTTAAAGTTAGGTATGAAGCCTGTCATTCAAGAATTTCAACTCATATACTTGCGACGGCGATGCATGCTTTTTGCCCGGGGGATTTTCTTGAGTGCAAACTCGTGTATAAAAGATCTAGAAAAGCTAACATTTTGAAACGAAGCAAGTTTTCTTCTAAGTAATCCGAAGTCTGTAGAAGTCATGCTTACAAAATACACTACATTGATACATATTTTGAATAATTTTAAAAGGCACCTATTTATAAGGTGTATCCATTATCAGTAAAACTATCAAACGTTGCACTGATTCTAACTAATGAAATACTTTAACGCAGTTTTAATTCTTATTGTGACAGTTGTGCAATCGTACTTTAAGTATACAAGATTGAAAATAAAGCAACAACGAAGGTAAAACAGAATGCAATAATCAATTGTACCTGGTACTTGTGAGGACGATTCTTCCTGCACTGTAGATGTTTTTTGCTCGTGCGTGGTTTCAACGTTGGAAGAATCTGTAATATAGAAGAAATGTTCTCAAAGGCATAAGTCGTGACCCAAAACAAAATAATTTAATATTTAATTATTAGTGTATATATGAAACTAGAGAAGACGTCCTACAGGACACTTTTATTTTAGAAATTTTATTCTAAAATACGCGATAGTGCTTTGAAATCATAATTAACGAACTAAGATAATTTCAAAGTTTTTAGTACTTTAAAAGTTGCAATTTGAGAGTGAGTTCGAATATTCGACTTAAAGACGAGTTGGATTTGGACTTGAATTGACTAACTTGTCACATACCAGAGCAAATCATAAGTTTAAGCTATATATGATACCGGCAAGAGTAAATTGTTACAAACACTTTTCGTGTTGGAATATTTTTTATTAAATTTATGTGATTTAGGAAGTCGTTGGTATAGGGTGGACTTTTTAATTGATCAATTAATTTTTCTTCAAGGTATAATTTTTTTTGGCAGATACTCGGGAGCTGGATGGTGCTTTTCACTGAATTTGATTGGAATTATATGATTGGTATATGCTAAAACAAATATTCTCCTCAATGTTGGTGAATAAGGATATTCATCTCAGCGCTTTGCGTTTCGGTGAATATCCTTTAGGGCACTATTCACCTCGGTACGGTATGGTATGGTATGGTATGATATTACCAGGATTTTCAAGTCCACGTGCATTAATAAGGCTCGCCTGCGGCCCGCTTTTTCAAAACGCACTCGGAAATCCTTGAAATCCTATTTCAACTATGGCTATTACTGCATTATGTGTTAGAAAACTAAGTCCAACCCATCCTTAATATCTGTCTCATATTCGATAATACTGACTTCATATTATTTAAAATATACAAAAATATATCACCAAAAACAAAGTAATGTTTTGTGTTTTAACAAAAAACAATTATAATATTATAATGATTACCCATGTCGGCTTCCATTTTAGCAAACTGTTGAACTTCGTCAATTGACTCGATTGCTTTTTCATTATTTCCAAGATTAAGCCAGGCAATTCCCAAACCAGTTAGAGCCTTCTCGTGCATGGGGCGATCAATGGGCTCTATTCTAGAAATATCCAACGCCTTTTCGTACCATTTTATCGCCTTCTCGTAATTATAATCTTTACTACAAATTGATGCCAAAGTTAAATATAATGTACCTAATTTATGAATTGAAACTACCTGCATTTCTTTATCTTCCAATTCTTCACTGATATTTAAAGTCGTTTGGTAAGATGCAATGGCTTTCTCGTGTTGCTTTAATTCTTGAAAAATGTCACCGAGCATGAGACAGGCGTTGGCTTCCTCTTTTCTCTCACCAAGATCACGAGAAATTTCTTGAACTTTGAGATACGATTTGACAGCAGCATCAAACTTACAACCCTGATAGTATACATATCCCAAGTTTTTATGTGTTTCCTTTTGGAGAGTTTTGTCATTCATCTGTTCTGCTACTGTGAGAGCTTTCGAGAAATACTTTTGCGAGAACTCAAAGTCATCAATATAACTAAATGCACTTCCTAATCCTAGGTAAGCGTTAACTGTAAGCGATCTTTTTTGTCTCCAAGCTGTGAGGCAAGTTGTACCACTTCTTTGTAATACGCTATGGATTCTTTATACTGACCAGCTTGCAGGTGGTTGTAACCTAACCATTGATATGCTGTTACTTCCGACTCATCTCCCTCGAGGACTCGATATAGTTGACGTGCTTTCTGATAATACTCGATTGCTTTTATATATTCGGAAGTTCCAGTAAATGCATTTCCCAACAATTGATAAGCTTTTGCTTTGATGTCATTGTGATCTACTTCATCCACAATTTGAATTGCTTGTTTGTAGCTTTTGATAGCCTCCTCACTTCGGCCTTCCGTTTGGCAAGAACGTCCCAAGATTAATAATTGTTTGGCAGACGCAATTCTATCGTCAGTGATACTTCCATTTTCGATGCCTGTTTGTTCCACATTATCAACAGTTTCATCATGAAGTTGAGCGTCGTCTGATAAATTAGAGTTTTAAATGCTATTAGTGTTATAATCATCATCGACTGCATCTAAATCTAAGGAATCAAATTACAGTCATCATAATATTATTCCAGCGATTTGAAAGTAAAAGAGAGAGCAACGCAGCCAGAAAGAACGCCAAAAATACTCCAGGCAAATATTAAAGTGCCTATATCACTTGTGGGATCTTTATGGATTTGAGAAGAGCGTAAAAAGTTAGTTAATAAGTTGAAAAGATTTTTTTGATTTAATGCAATAGTTTTGAGGATACAGGCCTTTAAACAACGGACTGTTTTTGAGTCCCTCTAAACACGGCTATTGAATTTGGCCTTTTTCCAAACGGTCCATTGTGCATAGGAGCCTGGGACTCGGGAACTGTAGGAAGTTTAGAGGCCTGTATCTTCGAAATTATTGCACTAAATCAAAAAAATCTTTTGAACTTATTAACTAACTTTTTACGCTCTGTTCAAATCCATAAAGGTCCTACAAGTGATATAGGCACTTTAAACGCCTTTGTGTCAACATATGGGCCCACAGACTGGGTCGCAGTAATTGCATTGATTTAAGCTGTTGTTGTGTCCCGACCTTTGCATTGCATGAATTTAGTGCATGTATATATTTGCGTGTATGAAAATTGTTATATTTAGCGAAGCTATAAAACGTTACTCAAGATGTCCATGGGCAGCTGCATTCGACGGTTTGCTGAACTCGGGCTCAACTTTGGGATTATAATATACTGAGTTACCCCTTATAGCGCTTCTTAAATAATTCATACTAACTTTAAGATAATCTCTTGTCGGTTAACTTTTCAAGTTTTCACTTGAACCGAACACATTTTTGTTGATTGCAGAAAGTTTGAAAATTGCATCATTAATTGCAAGATTGAAATTTTATTTTTGTAAATAACCAGATGGAATATGGGCTTACTAAGCTGGACATTCGAATGCCTAAACTGTAAACATACCTGCATTTCTTGACAATTCTTCAATTGCATTTCTTGCAATATTCCCATTACGTTCATTTTCTAGTTCCTTCGCAGTTTTCAAGGCCATTTCGTAGTATTTAATTGCCGTTGGAATCTGATTGTTCATTTTATAAGCTTTTCCCAGCCCAAGATATGCCGTTGCCTCTATATCTTTTCGGCCTTTCGCAATTTCCAAGGCTCGCTTATAGTATTTAATTGCCGTTTGAAACTGATTGTTCAATCTATAAGCTTGTCCTAACTTAAGGTACGCCGTTGTCTCCTGATCTTCATGTTTTCGTTCTTTTGCAATTTCCAAGGCTTGCTCATAGTATTCAATTGCCTTTTGAAACTGATTCGTCAATCTGTAAGCACTTCTAAGCCAAAGTATGCCATTGTCTCTTGATCTTTTTGTTTTTTTTGAATTTCCAAGGCTTGCTTATAGTATTTAATTGCCGTTTGAAACTGATTGTTCAATCTGTGAACAGCCCCTAAGTTAAGGCATGCTGTCGCCTCTTGATCTTGATCTTTTCGTTCTTTTGCAATTTCCAAGGCTTGCTCATAGTGTTTAATTGCCGTTTGAAACTGATTGTTCAATTTATAAACATGTCCTAACCCAAGGTATGCCCTTGTCTCTTGATCTTGATCTTTCTGTTCTTTTGCAATTTCTAATTCTTTCTCGTAGCTTTCAATCTCCCGTTGAATCTGATAGTTACTAATGTTGCCTTCTAACTCTTGCTCCTTTTCGCTTTCTTGCTCCATTTTTAATGCTTGTACATTCTTGGCAAATAGTGGTTGCTTCTGATAGCTTAACATAGAAATATTACGTTGTTTAAATTAAAACTATATATCCTTCTTTTTCATAGATAATATTAAGATAATTTTTTTAAAATCTTTATCGTATAGCGGTTTCTTTAAACACTTGACTATAAAATTTTGCAATAAAATACACTTGCTTATATACATGTTAAAAAGTTAAAAGACGACGTTTCGACGTTAACAGAACGTCATTATCAAGTCAATATAGAAATTAGAAGTGTTTGGATTTAAATACTAAGTTAAGACAATATAAATGAATAAAATGTCAATGAAAGCCTACAGTCCTAAACAAAGAGTTTTGGACGGATGCCGGATGGAATCACTTTGAACGTTTAAAATGGGGTGACATTCCTTTATGTAGTGCATTTCGTAGACACGACAATCGAACTTGTTCTGACATTTTCTCAAGTTGTTTTACATTTAACAAATATAAAACATTTTTCGTGTTGATATACAGTTACATCAACACGAGCGGAAATTGGGAAAACGAGAAATTGTGTGGAAACACGACGCCCGAAGGGCGGAGTGTTTTCACACAATTTCGAGTTTTCCCAATTTCCACGAGTGTTGATATAACTACATATCAACACGGAAAAAATGTTTTATATTTGTTTTATAATATAGCACAAAGAAATATAAAGAAAGAATTTTCCGACGTTTCCGTGTTGACATCGAGTTATATCAACACGGCTCTTAGCCAATCAGCGTTCAGAATTTACAAATGCTATATTATAATTATTATTGTTAATTAAGCAGGATGTGGTTATCCCTGAGCCAACGGTGCAAAGCGCCGTTCCGGGACGAGAGTACAAATTCCGCTCGCCCAGCTATTTCCCCCCAGGGAATTAAAGGAGAGCATTAGCGAAGTCTAAAGTTGAAAATAATCGCGGTTTCAGAATAGGAAGAATTGTTGTAATATAGGTAATATAATTCTAAGACAAATCATCCAAAGGAAGCAATCGTTCTAGCTCTTGTAGTATGTTGCAACAGGGATGGATTTACTGGGGG